CTCAAAATCTAGTTTTTCATTTTTTTCTACGAAGGTTTATTCAAATGGATTGAAACTTTGCATAAATATTCTAGTGCTTAAAACAAATACAAATAAAACATCCTAAAAATTTTTTGAGCAAAGAACCAAGTAGGAAATACATTTTCAATTATGAACTTGGGACAGGTCTGGTCGAAATCTAGTTTTTCATTTTTTTTTCGAAGGTTTATCCAAATCGATTGAAACTTTGCATAAATATTTTAATGCTTAAAACAAATACAAATAAAACATTCTAAAATTTTTTTGAGCAAAGAACCAAGTAGGAAATACATTTTCAATTATGAACTTGGGACAGGTCTGGTCAAAATCTAGTTTTTCATTTTTTTTTCGAAGGTTTATCCAAATGGATTGAAACTTTGCATAAATATTCTAGTGCTTAAAACAAATACAAATAAAACATCCTTAAGTTTTTTTGAGCAAAGAACCAAGAAGGAAATACATTTTCAATTTTGGACTATGGGCGACCCTAGTCAAAATCAATTTTGTTACTTTTTTCTTCGATGGTTTATCCAAATGGATTGAAACTTTGCATAAATATTCTAATGCTTAAAACAAATACAAATAAAACATTCTAAAATTTTTTTGAGCAAAGAACCAAGTAGGAAATACATTTCAATTTTGGACTTAGGACAGGTCTAGTCAAAATCTAGTTTTTCCTTTTTTTTTCGAAGGTTTATCCAAATGGATTGAAACTTTGCATAAGTATTCTAATGTTTAAAACAAATACACATAAAACATTATAAAATTTTTTGAGCAAAGAACCAAGAAGAATACATTTTCAATTTTGGACTAGGGGCGACCCTAGTCAAAATCAATTTTGTCACTTTTTTCTTCGAGGGTTTTTCCAAATGGATTAAAACTTTGCATGAATATTCAAGCGCTTAAAACAAATACAAATAAAACATCCCAAAATTTTTTTGAGCAAAAAACCAAGAAGTAAATACATTTTCAATTTTGGACTAGGGGCGACCCTAGTCAAAATCAATTTTGTCACTTTTTTCTTCGAGACTGTTTTTCAAAAACAGCTGTTTTCCACAAACCCTAGCCCCTAGTCCAAAATTGAAAATGTATTTCTTTCTTGGTTCTTTGCTCAAAAAAATTTTTTTCATCCAAAGTTTAATTTAAAAAATATCACAGTGAACTTTTAATTTGAAAAATTCGTAAGAAAGGAAAGTTTTGTGCTTTTTCTGAAGCAACGGTTGTTCTTACCTTGCTCAAAAACAATACAGCTCTTCTATAGAGCAGCACGGATCAAATGTAAAAAACTAGAAGTCTCTACGATGTCTCGTTATTGTGATTTCTGGCTGATTAACTTGCTTGCATGCTTGTTTGCTTGCTTACAGAAAGCATATTTTGCGATTTTCTCAGCAATGCCGCAACCAATTTGAAATCTGTTTTTTGCAAAAGATGTGAAATTCAAGGCACAAACTTTTCATCTCTGAACAATTTAAGCTATCTTGCTCCATATCCTCACAAAATTCTAAAAACTGATTTTTCAATCTGAACAAAACCAATAGATTCACACGTGAAAACGGTGTGAATATAAAAAACTTTTTAAAAAAAACACGTTTTTACCCGTGGACTAAAAAGTAGAAAATAACTTTTTTATTGGGTTCAAAGGATATTGGTTTGAAAATTTGAGATTGATTTGAAAGTTTCATACTTTTACTTTGCGCATTTATATGAAATTTTAGCTCTCCAAATATACAATATTAATGAATTAATATTAATGAATGGTAATAATAATAATAAAAAAAAACTATAACCACGTTTTGCAGAAAATGCAGAAATGAAGTTTGTGTGTGACATTCAACATGACTAATTTTGATAAAATTTAACATTTAGATTTTACCGTTTGGGGTATATGGTATTTTTACAAATATTCGGAACACAAAATAATTGAAACCCTTTTTTGTGCCTAAATAATGCTTAGGATCTGAACTTTTTGTCTAATAAAAACATTAAATGTGAAGAGGTTCAAATTGGTTTGAAAAATCGAACACTCGTCATTTGTGATAAAATTGAAAAAAAAAACTTCCATCCAATTTAAACATATAGATGTTGAAATGTGATGAAAACGGTTGCATATTTATTCTTTTGATTAATCAACAAAACGCTTAAAAGCAAAACATTCTAGCAATATTATAACTTTTTTATTTGACACAAATTCGATTAATGGATTTGTTTTTTCTGCTTGGTCGCGTTTACAATTATTCATATATTCATATTCTTTAGACCCCTAACAGAGCTGCTAATTTTTTGATGCTAGGGTATAAAATTTGTTCTGTTAACTCTTTTCAACTCGTAAGGAAAGCAAATGATTTTAAAAACATTATATTTTTTTTGTGTTGGTGCTGCAAATATTAGAAATGAAATTTTGAAATTGAAATCTAAAAAGATTTGAATGCGCGAACCTATTCATTTTTTGAACACGCCGTTAAAAACGTGTTCAAAACTATAAATTGAATATTCATTCGTTTTCTGAAAAAATTTCAATTTGTTACGATTTTAAAAAAAATTTCTTAACTTTTGAAATTTTACATTTTTAATAAATTTTAGTCGTCAAAAAAAATTATTCTGAGATCATTGCAAAATCTAAAATGCTGAAAATAAAAGAATTGATTTAGTTCTCAACAAAATTTATGAGTTATATCTTTCATCGGCTTAAAAATATGATCTTCGAATCTAATTTGAATAAATCTATAATTTTATGAATTTTATTACAATTTATAAGCTGCCTTATAAATATCAATAATAGACGAAATCTTATTATCAAATATTAGAATTTTGATTATATTTAAAAGCTGCTAATTGAAATGTTGATCTGGAATTGTAAAAAGATTAGAATACAAACCTTGCAGTTTTTTCTCGTTATCAATTTTGATGATGCGCAAAGCTGTTTAGCAGTCATGAATTTATGAAAGATTTAAATGAAAATTGGATGGATTTTTTATACTGCATCCAAAGTGGAGAATGGAAGAAAGAAAAAAGTAAATTGAAAGCGTCTTAAGTCTTAAAGATGTTTATATTCTCTCTCTTTTTGTATTAACGGAAACATCTGCTCCTTTACTGTGTTGAACAAAACAGGTGATATGAGAATTTATTTTTCTCGACAACTCTTTAGTTCCGAAGTCTCTTCTGTATTAAAAACTTAAATTGTATTAGCCTATTTATTAAAAAAAGACACTTAAATTTTTTTATTTAAATATAAAAGTCTTTTATTTTTTAATTCATTTTAATAATTTCCAAGTATTTAATTAGTCTCTACTCACAATGTTTATATCAATTTTTTGTTTATTAACTTATAAATGAGGGTCACATACTACATACAGTTTTTTGTTCCTTAACACTAAGATTTTTGACTCAAATAATAATTTAATAATGCCTGTAGAAGTTTTATGAATGAAAGTTCAAATCTCCTGTTTTTGTTTTTTGCTTAATTTGAACAGCACTTATTAATTGTCAAATACTGTTGATTTGATAAAAAAAGGTCTCAAAAACAAAAAAAAGAAAATTCTATTGTTTTATTAAACTAACAAGCTTTCTTGTCGCCACAATAGTTCAAATACTGAAGAAATCAGAAGCAATGAAATGCTGAACAATTTGCTATAATTTTTTTTTATAACTATTGAGTTAAGAATTTTTTTCTTTGCAGAAAAGTATCATTTGAAAATAGTATTGGGTCTATACAATTTTAAATTTCATTGCAACATCCTATTGTTGAATTTTCTTTGTATTTTCTTGTAACAAAAATGTGTAATCTCATTTAAAGATCAATCACAATTCTTTATTGTTTTCTTAAAATAGAGAAAATAAAATTTTATTGTTGAATTGAGATTTAGACACTTTTCAGCATTTTTGAATTCATCATAAGATACATTCGACAATGAAACGATTTGATAATTTTAATGATAGGAAAAGTCTCAATGTTTTTAATAATTCTTAAAATTTTAATCGAGATGATCCGAGAATTTTTATCAAAAATCAATAAAATTGCTACTTGCTGTAAATATTGTAAAAGTATCGTAATGTATCAAATTGTTTTCAAACTTTTAAAATCTTGTTGCTTTATAAATAAAAATAGATTAATTTACTGCTCAATTAATTATTTATGTCCTACAAAGCACCTTATTCTCAGTGCTTTAAATTTTGAAATTTTTCTGCACAGCAGAAAGTAAAAATTATATCCGAAAAGTATCTACTTATTGTTAAAACTTGCAGTTTGTTTTTGTTCGTTAAAAGTTAAAAATGTGCCAAAAGTTAATTGGAATCAGAATGAAATGAAATGAAATTGTAAAACTTTAATAAATGATATACTGTCTGAAAAATATAAGCGGGCTAAGGCTTAGATTTTAATATTAGTTAACCATATAAAAATTTATATATTTTAAAGATTTGGCAAATTTTTTTTTCGAATGATTCTTTCTTAATTTTTTCAATAATAAAACAATGACTTTAATATATAAAAATTCACTGCATAAAAACAAAGATTCTTAATCTAAAATAAAATAACTCACATATGCATTAAACATAATGCACTAAATATTAGTGATCAGTTCGATCGGTAGTCTGTTGGGAATAGATTATGTTTTAGGAAATAGTCATATAGAAGATCAGACAAAATTGTATGTTTACTAAGTCTTCAAATAGTTCTTTATATTATATGATCAGAATACGAAAATTATAGTGTTGGGTCGAACGTTTATGGAAAGAAAGCAAAAATATAATATTTTGAATATCTTTACTTTGCATCCCTGTAATTATTCTATAAATCGTTATATTTCAATTGTTATACATCGAAGAATAATAAGAGGCATACATAAATACATATATATGTAACTTTTCAATTTAATTTTTTTTTCGGATTCTTTTAAGACAATTTTTTCATTTGAAATTGTTTTTTTTTTTTACTTTCTTTTGTTATTCTAGCTAAAAAATAACTTTAAGAGATAAATATTATTTACAAGTCGTAAAAGAACATGATTAATAAATCTTTTTGTTGTAAATTTCATATCCATCGTTTCTAATTGAACATTAATTTCATCAATTTAATTAAATCAAATGATATATCCATTTAATCTTATTGATTTGAAAAAAGGATAGGAATTAGATTAATAATCAACGAATTCTTATGAAAGTTAAAAAATTTTTTTTACCTTTTTTTAAATTGATTCCAGTGCATTTTAGTAAAATTATCAAGTTTATGCTCACTATGACTGATTGGCATATTAAAATATGCCTTTGAATTTTTTTATACGTGCACCTTAATGTGCAGTAAGAATTTTCTAAAACTATCACTATTTTTTTAATATCCATAACTTCCTTTGAAACAAAAAATGAACACGTACTTGTTGATTCTTCAAAAATGCGCTGTAGTCTTGTATGTATCAAGACTTCTGGAACTGGATCTTAGATGTTCTTTTTAAATGTTGAATGACCATTAAAAATGAAATTGAAACGATACAAATGAATATATCAAAAAAGTGTCATAATTTGAAATCATAATTGAAATTTATTATTTTTGAAATCTCAAAGCGTCATTCAATTTTTTTCTTCATTTTCTTTAAGAATTTACTGGTTACTTAAGTGATCTTTTGTTCTTTTCCTTGTTCAATATTCAATCTTTCATTTCTATTTTATTTTTTCCTCTTTAATTCTCTTTTAAGATTTTTTTTTTTTTCATGAGATCGTTTAATCATAGTCACAAAAATGAATAGACGAATGTAGAGAGTCACGATTTTTTTTTTCATTTAAAAATCTATTAATATAATATAAAAAGCACTACTTCTATGTGAGACTGCCGCCGAGGCAATTTATATGTGTGGCGGACTACATCTGTCCATTTGTCGACTAGTGCTTGCAGCAGAATTCCCACTCCATGACGCTTCTCCAAGCATTGATGATATTCTCTTATCGAGCGTTATTTCTTTTGCTGGATGCTGCTGCCGATGCATAATTAGTGATGCACGATTCACAACAGCAGGATCAGTATTAAGCTGCTTTTGACTTTTCGCTCGTTGAAGTGTTTGTTGAGGAACTATTTGAGATTGATAACCATCAGTTGAACTTAGCAACTGACTAGTATTTATTCCTGCAGATGATGCATTATTGTTATCATTAAAATTTGACATTGCTCCATACATACTATTATTTGTATTTAACATGCAACCATCATCCATGCTGACAGAATTTGACATGTTCATATTATTAACGCTCTTGTCCCAAGTATTCTTGATCATATGATGAGTGGAATTTTCAAGAGCATTTGAACTATTTGATGTTCGTTTTATTGCTATTATTGAATTATGATGATGCTGATGCAAGTGTGTTATATGCGATGCATTTTGTTCATTTTGTTTTCGTGCTTCTGCATCATCTTTCTCTTGCTCACGTTTCCTTTTTCTTTTCATGCAAACAATAACAGTTATGCCACATACCGCGACAAAAGGAACCGCGATTGAAAGAAAAGCTATCAGTATGATTTGAATGAAAGTTAAATTTTCGCTCCTTCCAATTTGAGCTTCTTGATATGTTGATGTTGATGCTTGATGTACCAACTGGCTACTAACTGCTTCATCACAATTAACTCCTTGAAATCCATCAATGCATTGGCATTCGTATGAATTTACACGATTAATGCAAGTTGCGCCATTCTTGCATGGCGATGACAAACATTCATCAATATCTTGACTACAATCATTACCAGTGAAACCGTTTCGACAAATGCATTGAAAGCCGTTATTTACTTTTATACAACTGCCGCCATTTGCACATGGTTTTGTCAGACAAAAGTCGACACGTTTTTCACAATTTTCACCCGTATATCCAGAAACACATTTGCATTGATATTGATTGATTCCGTCAATGCATGTGCCACCATTTTTGCATGGATTGCCATGACAATCATCAATATTTTCCTCGCAATTAAGGCCACGAAAACCTTTTGCGCATTGGCATTGATAATGATCTTTAACTGCAATGCATTCGCCCTTATTTTGACATGGATTCGGAGAACAATTTTGAACATGAGTCTCACAAAATTTCCCGCTATATCCAGTTGGACAATCGCATCCGGCTCCCTTATTCTATGAACATAAAAAGAAATTAGTATTTTGTAAATAAACATTAATTGATTTTCTTTTTTATCTATATATACAATAAATATGCAACACTTACAGAGTCATGACATATTCCACCAAATAAGCATGGTTTTGAGGCGCACGTTACAGTTTGTGTTTCACAATGCTTTCCCGTCCATCCATAATTGCATTCACATTTATAACCATCAATCGTATCGAGACATGTTGCATTATTTAGACATGGATTGGCAGTACAATCTTTGATTTTGACTTCACAATCTACTCCTGTGTAACCCGGTGGACATTTACACGTATATGAACCTTGTCCAGTGTTTGTGCATGTTCCACCATTATGACATGGCTTGTGATTTGTACAAAAATTTAAATCTTGATTACAAAAAAGGCCTCCCCAACCCTCTTTGCAGATGCAATCCCATTTCTTTACACAATATCCATGCACGCATCCTGGGTAAACTTCACATTCATCACAATTCGGCCCCTTCCATCCGGCTTTGCATCTGTTATTTACATAAAAAGTGAAAGAAATAGACAGAAAAAATAGATATAAGATAACATTCATGACGATCATAAGCAGGTTCTTAAAATGAAATATTTTATTTTGCGTGTTAGAAGACAGACTACTTACATGCATTCGTTGGGTTTTTCGCAGTGTCCATGCTCCAAATTGCAACCGACAGAACAACGTGCTGAAATATTGACATAAAAAATAAACAATAAAATACAATGAAATGAGATAAAACAATAAATGTTCTCAAGATGAGAAAGACAAATAAAAGAACGAATTTTCTTCCTCTGCAAGATGTTTGCATATGAGTCTAGGGAAAAGATTTCGCAAACACTGACAATATCCGATTTCCGAGGATGCAGGAAAATAAAACATTTATGTTCGTTTCTTTTCCTTTAATTCTCCTTATTTCCTTTTGGATTTTGGATGTGAACATTCAACAGATAACAGATGCTAAGCAGGGAGCACAAAAACACATTGCGGAAATATCAAAAATCTTTTTCTCTGCATTTTATGATTTTTTTTTTCGAGGCAGGATTTGAATGTCGGGTCGGTTGTTATTTTTGCTGAATACACATTCAACAAATGGATCTCTCATCAGACCTTTTTTAAGGTGAAACTATATGTGTAACATTTGTTGAATCATTCAACAGCAGATTAGATTCTATGCATAAGCAACTGTTGCTATTTCTTTTCATGTGTATTAATCATTAGATGCTCTTCAAATTTCTTGTAACTCTGCCTAGATCATCTGTTGCACATTTAACATCATTATTGCTCATTTAGCGTATAAATAAGGACTATGTTCTCATGAGTGAAGAATGAACATTAAATGTTAATATTCACTGTCCAATGAGTACCAATTATTAAAAGCCAAAAAGAACTGGTAAAAAAAAAATAAAATATTAACTTACGCTTATCGCAATAATTCCCATGCCAACCGGATAAACACATGCGTTGACCACTTGCTGTACACGCGTAATGTCCAAAATTATCGTCACGCTCTCGGCAAAGTGTTTCACAGCCCGCTCCATAGTAGTTTGATTCGCATGTAACGCGATACTCAAATTCAATTTCTTTGGTTAGTTGTTTACTTGAATATTGTGTCCAATTAGCTGCAACACTTAGCTCTCCTTGTATAGAAAAGCGTGATATGAGTGATTCTAGAATAGATAGAATACGAAAATAGGACATTTGTTAAAATAAATCATTCTCATTAAAATATAAATAATTTTTTTTTGTTCTTCTTTCAACAAGCAAGCAGACTGTATGTTTTTTAAGTCTGCAAAAGGATTATGTTTAAAAAGTAAAGAAAAAAAATCGACATGAGGTGCTCAGTATTCATGTTTTTTTTTTAAGTTTTTAATAAACGAAATAGCCTAAAATTCGAATTACACTAAACACATTTCGTTTCTTTATAGTATCACATGGTTGTTTTTTAATGCTTTAAGAAATATATTAACGTAGTAAAACATCTGCTGACAAGAGAAACAAGAGAGAAGTTTAAAGATGTTTGGCTTTTTTATGGAGACGATTTTTTTTTGTAAAAATAAAAAATTTAAGTGTATGCTGCTTCTATAGTTCTTATTTTTAAGGCCATCTTCATCATCTTACAATACGCCTAGTGAGTGCTTCTAAGATTTCTCTTTTTAGCTCAGGTAAAAAAATACACATCATCATCACTAGTGCATTTTGACGATCCTTGCCAGCATTTTTTCTTCTCTCCTACATACTTATATGAATACAATTTCAAAAAGGTAAGGTAAAAAAAAATTTCAAAATGAATAGATTGTTTGGGTTATATTTTAATTCTTTTACGACAATTTTTCATTTTGTCTTTTATGTCTAAATTGTTATAAGTTTTATTTTTTTTTTCATCAGAAAACAACAGTAAAAAATTACTCACTCACTTAAAATATTTTCTAAAAGTCTATCGAAAATATTTTTGATGAATTCATCTCGCATGTAAATAAATCATTCTAGCAAGATTTCTCAATGCTATTTTTTAAATGCTAAATGATCACGCCAAATATTTTATGAGTTCTTTATTCTGATGCAAACTTTATTTTTATTACCTTATTTCATTACTTTGCATTAAATAGTAATGTATAGTTATGAAAACACCATAAAAATGTTAATAATTGATAATTAATATTTCTGTGGAATGCACAACATTCAAGAAAATTTTAACAAACATACAAATGATAAACAACTTGCACTGTACTGTCTAGACGTGATATTTTTATATCCCTATATTTGTATCTATCTCTAGTGAGAATTTTCGTACAAACAATTTTGAGAAAATTGCAAGGTGGAGAAATATTCATTGCTTTTCTTCGAACTCATTCACGAGAATTTATGTCTATTTAGTCATGATTGAAATTGAAATTTCAATACTGATGAAAATTGAACTTTTAAATTGTTAAATAAAATCAGTATAAAATGGTAATTCATTAAAATGATTTTGCAATTTATTCGAAAGAAGAAAAAAATATGCAGGCGCATATGGCTTGTGAATATTTTGAAACAAATGTTAAAACATCCTCAATATGTACAAAACGGAGTGTATTCAAATTACTCTTCGAATTGTGTTACTTCATATGTCTATTTGAAAAAGATAAACATTTTTTACTATTTTTTCATAAGTCAAAACAAGCTCCTCCACAAAAAAAAAACTAAAAGATATGAGACTCCTACGTTTCGTCTTTCATGAAATAATAGAAAAGATATAGCCTAATGAAAATTTGTCACATCATACTTTTGAGTAATATGTACGTAAATAAAATGTATTGTTCATATTCAACTTTAAATCTCATCTTTCGTATGTAGACTTTCAGTTTTAGTCATATCCACCAAAAGAATGTAACAACAAATGTCTCTAAAACATAATATCGGGACTAAAGAAATTTTAAATTAATTATGAGTGCATGCTTGTGATGAATGAATCTATAATTAAACTTTGTCTATAAAATAACGTATTCATGAATATGTGCCTTAAGTTTCTTACCACTTCCGTTCATTTTAAATCATAAGGGATGGATTGTCGAAATATCAATTGAGTTACAAGTATGCTTCGTAGCGTTTTCATAAAAAACACATAGTTTCATCAAGATTTTTTTTTCTTCGAATAAATACCAGACCGGAAATTTAAAGAATTGCTTTTTTGTTTTTTTTTCAGATTTTTTTTACTTATACTTCTTCAAAAAGCATACTCATAAACGATGTGGTAAAGATGGAAAAGAAAAAAAAAACATCGTTAATCGTTATATATATGAAGGTAGAGTCTTCTTTTTATATTAAACAAGTGGAACAATAACTGAACCAAAACGGAAGGGTTAGATTATACATATTTTTCATATTTTTTTTTTTTTAATATACATACACTTATAATTTTCCATTATAGAAATATACTTTTGTTCTTAAAATAAAATAAAATGTTTAAGCGACATATGAGGAAGACATACTATATATTGTCGATCGTGATACTCTATAGTCGACAAGAGAACGAATAAGGTTTTTTGTTCATAAAGGTACGTATTGAAAAGAAGAGAAACAAAAAAATCGGATCATATTACAAGGTTTGGTTAAAGTTATGCAGAATTAAATTTTTATTTATCGGAAGTAACGAAAATAGAAATAAAGAATCTCATCTTTTGTTTCATTTTTTTTTATATATCCAAATAATAAAAATAATATCAATAAAAATAAGATAATAATAATAAAATGTATAATGTTTGCGAAAAAGTTTACATTAATAAATTTCGCATTATAAGTTAGGTTTCCAAAAAAGAAAGATGGGAATAATTTAAAAACAAATAAAACAATACAAGATGAGATATCATGTATCATGATGATGTGTTTATATTATATTGTTGAAAGTAAAAATCTGTTATTTTATGGAAATAACACAGCAGTGGTATCATATTTGTGACACTTACCTGTTGTTGATCTTGATTCACTGTCGTTTGAAGAATCATGGTATGCTTCCACAATGAGTGTAAAGGCACCCTAGAAAAAAAGAGAATTATTAGAATCGATGTATTTATTTTTTTCATTAAATAAAATGTCAGATGTTAACGGAAATAATTTGAATTACTAATATTATACTGTGACACAATTCAGTGGATTTCGACAAAATTTATTTTTGGATTTGTTTAAATTCATTTCGATTCAGTTATCAAAATGTTTTTACACCTGGTGCAATCTCAGGCATCTGTACAATCAAAAGGAAATTTTGATAAAATTTCAGTCCTCGCATTATTGATGTGTAGTTGTATTGAAGTGAAGAGCTATCCTCACTGAAGAGTGATAAGCGAATCCTCAAATTGAATTACATAAAAAAGCAATGTCACAAAAAATTTGGTGCATGGACGTACGTACATATGTATTTTTGTGAATACATATCGAATCAATAGTCTCGACCACTTCCGTTTTAAATTGAAAAGCAAAACATTATAACAAATAACATTTCAAGTGCCCCTGCCGATTTAATTACCGATTGAAGCATTAAAATGCTTCATTTCTTACTTTCCTCTCTGCCTCTTTCATTCGAAATATTTCATAAAACAGAAGAAATTAAACGCTCATTAGTAATGAAGAGAAGAAATTGAAATTTTCCAATTCAAATTTCAATTGCACACGTTTCTAGTTTAGAATTTCTTATTTCCATCTCATGATGATGATGATTGGCCCGTGTTATGCTGTGGCAGCAACAGCGGTAATTTCTTCTTTCTTTCTCTTGAAACGAACATCAGTAATAACAAAAGGTAACAGCATAGCAAAAAAAGAGAAAAAATAAGAAGAAACAGGCACGATCTTTGTTGTATAAATGGAGTAAGTTAGAGATTGAAATATTAATTATTTTAACAGTTTCGATTGCTGAATAAAAACGAAATAACTTTCCCAGAATGGAAAACGCATTTTAAAATATCTTTGAGGGAGAGAGAAGTAGCAAGATGTGAAAGAAATAATTGAACGAAGAAGACATACCATAAACATATAAGTGATTTTCCATTCAAACGACACGCGCCACAAACCAGAATGAAAGTCATGAGTTGGGTCTTGATAAAATAAAATAAAAAATAACGACAATGTACATACATACATTAACCAAAAATAACGTTCTAAATGCATTCATTCACTTTTTAAGCGTGGTGTGATTATTATGTCTTTCAACATTACGGATAGATAATAAAAATAAAATTTTAATTTGAATACAGTTTTTCTCTTCTTTCAATCGTTGCCATCATCATCATCGATAGATTTGTAGCATTTGCTCATTAATTTTAATTTAGTCTATTTTATGAAATTTCTTTAAATACTTTTTCAGACATATTTTCTTATTTATCTGTTCTGTTTAAAAAAATATATATACTTCTAAAAAATTCATGATTTTTTAAAATAAATTTATAATATATTTTTGTCCGCCATAAAACCTGAAACGGCGAAACAGCAGATGTTTCATAACAACAACAATAACAGAAAGAAAAACAACTACACTCACATAACTTAAGCACAGCATAAAAATGCACAAACTTCTGCTTTTTCGTCGTTTTTCTTTTTCACTTCATCACGAACTCACACTGACAAGCTGATCACTAAATAGTCAGGCATTCGAAAATTTGCGGCATATGGTTTTGTATTATACGGAAAGTAGAAAAGAACAAAAATTTTTTTTTCTTATGTCATGTTTACGAGCCAGAAGTAAGAAAGAAAAAATGATTCAGGCATTTTTCTTTCTCTCTGTGCACGTTCTTTGTGTTACTTTATTTTTGTTTCATCTCCTTTATATGCCTGAGTGTGTACTATCTATGAAGTGAAGATAACTAGATATAAATTCTAAACGCCATACATATCTTAGAGACGACGACTAGAAATTCTAAAAAATAAATTTCTCCAGCATCCAAGACATACTGAAACATTTTTGTAAAAAAAAAGTGAGCATGTTGCCTCTTTGAAGTTCTTCTTTGAAAAGTAGAAAAATGCGGAAAACTAAAAAAGAAGATTTGTTTTTTATTTACTGCTTGCGAAGCACCAAAACGTTTAAAAAATTGAATTGTCATCATCAAATCTTGATAAGCACGCTTTTGAGCGCGAAGTATATACACTCTTACTTATTAAATTGTTACTTCATGCACAATGACTTTCAAGTATCCATATCTATTTTATTCAATTAATGAATATTACGAATCTATTAAGATGAAAATTATATCTTTATGTAAATTACTACCGCTAGTCGAGATAGTACAACAAAATAGTAATTTATTTATTTGGATACAAACAAGATATTTGATAATGGTGTGTATTCTGACCCATTCATTGTTATTTATGTGCTACAGGTAAGTACAGAGCAAAAGGAATTTGCAAAAATTTTACTTTTTTGCATGTCATAGGAACTTCACATTGAAATGTGCAATGAATGAAACATGATCATCTTTGTTTCTAAAACGTTTTAAAATACTTTAAGGAACATAAGAAGACAAGGTTTCATTTTTAAAAAATGCTTACTGCACGGGAATCAGGAATAAACTTTATATTATCAGTTCATGTGCATAATTTATGGGATTTTTAAAAAGCACCGAGTAATTCAGACATTGAAAAAAAAAACTATTAACTTATTGAGTAAAATTAATCCATATAACCAGTTCAAATGGACACAATTTAAGCACTTGCTTTATAAGAAAAGCATAAAAATACACCACGGCATTTAAAATTAAAAATACCAATGTTACTCATTGCATAAAGCAACAGGAAAAAAACGCAGTCGAAGAATGAATGAGTATGGTAATATTTTCTTCGTGTGCTTTTTTCATTTCGCAAATCGCTAACTGCAACATACAACAACTCTCAGATGCGGTTGCACTTGTTCGAACGATGTTGCTCTTCATAATATATAAATATCAGAAAAAAAAGAAATCAGTCATTAATATTTTTTTAATTGTTATAGCTTTTGTATTGCATTGTGTTCGACTGTGGCTTTTTTTACGATTAATTTAAAAAGAAATTATGTTTAGGACGTAATCTGTTAAATTCTTGGCGCAAGGGAAGCATTCATTGAAAAGAAGAAGGTCGAGGAATTTATCTTCTTTTTCTTCTAGACTTGGACTTTTTTCAGTTTATTTTTTATATTTTATGGTTTTCTCATGAAAATGTTTCTGCACTCATACGCAATTTTGCTACGAGAAAGTACGGATGCAGTTTTATTTTATGACATTGCGCTGTGATTGATTTGAAAATGTATCTAAGTATAATATAAAGTAAGGTAATTAATAAAAAATAATAATAATAACTTACAGGCCATGTGAACTCGAATGGAAACCTAATTGGATTTATTCGTGAATCCTTTTGTAATTGACTTTTAAGAGCTATTGATGATTGAGTTAGATTGAATGTATTATCACCGAGGATTATTGTTGCAGCAGATCCAAATGTACATGACGATGTTGTGTCCACTTCTGCTTGATACTGTTTTAAACATACTCGAAACCTCGTTTTACAACTTCCTAAACATAATCCATTAATTGATTGTTTTTCGCTACAACATCGATTCAGACTATTTACACCCTTATCATTTCGAAAGGATTTTAATTTTAATTCAAATAAACCGGAGCATGTAATCTGAAAAGAGAATAAAGAAAAAAATAACATTAATGGTAAGAATGGTGTTGAAAATGCAAGATGAATAAATGAATGAACAAAAAAATAGATTCAGTAACAACAAGAATTGCAAAGATATTTAACAAACAAAAAGAGCGAAATGAATTGAATACAATAAATTATTATGAAAATTAATTCTGTTAAGTTATTCATTCAATGAACTTTTTCGTGTCTAATAAAAATCTCTCCCTAGTGAAAAAAGAGGCATGATCGTGTCAAACAAAAGCATTTAACATTTAACAAATTACAAAATTGAGACTTTAACACCCTCAACTTTCTAAAATACAATTTTAAGGCAATATTTCGGCAAGCCCTCAATAATACTAGTTGATGTGTATGCAACTTTAGTCATTTTGAATATCATAATATTCATTACATTTTGAAATTCATGTATCATTCTTTCTTATGAATTTTCATCTGGTATAATGCCCTACAATTGCGTGCATTCCAAAGTTGTATTTTTTAAACTTCTTGGAAGACGTTTGCCTATATCATGTTAAAAATCTGAAGAATTCAAATAGAACACGTGAATGAATGTAGGTAACTTCGAATGCGAACATTCATTCTCATGATAACTAATTGTGAATTCATTCATATTTCAATTTGCTTCAGCACAACTGAAATGCATTCTTTGAAAGCCTTAATTTATGTGTACGAGGTGAAGATCATTTAAAAGATTTTCGTATTAAATGGCAACACTAGTAAATTTTGCTATAGAAAGATTAAATTAATTTCGTACGAAATTGTTTCATTCCCAGCCATTTTCATAATGATTTTGCAAGTCGATTTTTATTTCTTCTTAATTTAAGCAACTTAATTTTTATTTTTTCTTCAGTACGCTGCAACTTGAATAAGTCATGAGACGATTAGTATTAAAATATAATTGTTATGTGTGCATTAGGAATTGCTTTGACATTTCACATGCTCAAACTGCATTTTTGCATGACCAACAACAAATCCAACAGCCTTGAACAGAGAAAAAAATACCACATGCAGAAATGATTCATGTTCGTATCTAATGCATAATTCACTTGTAGATTTTCCCATCAACAAGGACTTACGTTAATAATTTTTGTTTTCGCAATCGTATATATCAAGAAAAGAAAATATTTCATGGAAATCTCATAGTGAATGGGAATTTTTCAATTTAATTTGAGTTGAGACATTGTTTGAATTTTTAGTAATCAATTGGAAATGCAAACTGAATAAATTAAAAAAAAATCCAACTTCGTTTTTAAATTATGTTTTTCTTTCGTTTGTATACATTTTAGTGTTATAGCTAAGAACTGCTTTAAAAATATATACATATATATATATGAATAAAGAACGAAAAAATTTTACCGCTACAGAGGCGAAACTTGGCAACTTGACCTACGAGACAGACCCCTCAGGGCGTTATGAGCATTTGAAGTGTAGTTTTCGTTCTGTATTTCTTCATCATCAATGAAACAACACCATAACAATCTGTGTTTTATTTCTCTTCAACATTTTTTCTTGTGTTGAAAGAAATTTTTTGCAGTGGAACAAGCAACGCTTACAATATATATGGAGGCAAGTGAGAGATAAAGACATAATGAGGTAGCAATTCTCAATAACTTGGAGCTATTTTTGTGTTTTACTCTTAGACTTCACGATGCTCTGGTCTGCCTACAGGCGCCGGCTCTGTTCGCACGACTTATTTTTTTCTGCTCATATTAAATTGATTCATTCAAGTTAAACATAACAAAAAGAAAGTGATTTTATAGTAATAAAAATTGTCTTTATAGAATGCAGACTTTTTATATATTTTTAAGACATTTATAAGCATAACAAATACTTTTGAAAATTTTTGGATAAACATTCCATTAATTCCATTTTTATTTTTGCATGCATCGATTCATGATATCATTGGCTTTAGCAAGTTTTGATCATGTAAATAATAATGTCTGTAGGAATTATGTTTAGAATTAATAAAAGTAGCGAAATAGTAAAGTTTATATATTCTAAAGAAAAATATTGCATGCTAGCAACATACCAGAATGAAGAAAAAAAAATCTTACAATCATTAAAAAAGTCTGGGATTAAACATATTTCGTGATAACTCATGTTATATATTGCTAATCCGAAACAAAAAATTAAATATACTTCATCTATAGCAATTTTTCTTTGGCACATAATAAATTAAAAGGCAAAAAAAATGTAAAAAAACGAAGGAATAAGAAATGAGAAAAACGCAAAGGCAGTTGGGAACAAAAAAATAAAATAAAATACTTTTAAGCCTGATATATCTCCAGCTGAACACAAGGAGCATATGTGCAATTTTATATGTATTTGTAAACATATACAGATACAAATATGTATGAAATAAAGGAAGAAAAAATGAATCGAGGGAGAGTTTCTTTATTGCATCGATGGGTAAACATGAGTTATCGTGTGTATACTTTATACTTTTACTGTAAGTAGATGCCGAAAAAAAAGGTGAACATGAAAATAGCAGTCGACTGCAAAAACATGATGTACATTTTTTTTCTTCTGGTTCCATCTCCCTCACAAAATCGCTTGTTGCTTACGCTTGATCATTTTTTTTTTGCTTCACTCGTCGAAAAAAAAAATGGAAAAGATTCATTTTAAAAGAAGAAAACCGAAAAAGAAATTCAGTTTAAAATTAAACATATTTTTCTTATAATATTTTATTTCGAAACATATTTTTTAAATACCTTTTGAATTTTTTCTATAATTCGCTTAACAATTTAAAAATAAATTCGTCGAGTAAGAAAGAAAATCATTGACTTCAGCGCATTAGTGTATTTCAGCAATCATGAATGTTCCCATGAAATTATTTCATTCGAATGCCGCGATCTTATACGATACCATCAAATACATTCTGAACAACTTTTGCCAAATCAAATATCAGCGATCTTATCGTTCAGTGGCATCAATAGTTAGCAAAGATCCCATTAGAATTTTATATTTTATGCCAAACAATAAAAATAAAACACTTTGAAATTGAGTCCCGGTAAGTTGACTGTATTGTATCTTTGTATTAGTTTGTGTCTCAAAATTATGAAATTAGTTTCTTTCTTATCCTGTTGAATTAAACAGACAGATTCATTATGTAGAATAAGAAACATTAAAATGTATCTCTTTCCGTTATGACAGATAATTTTTCTTTACAGACATCAATCGATCATAATTCAGAGCGATTCATATTAAGTAAGAAAGAGATCAAAAGCAGTTCGTTTTATAGAGGGTAGTTAACAATTTCCGAAGTGAAACTTGTTGACCTGTCAATATTCATTCGTATTGGTCACGATCACGATCGATCAATGGCATTTTTAAGATATTGATAACTTTTGCTACTTTTTATAGAAGTAAATTTTTTGAAAATGAGTCAAAGTATTGTCATTTTATAAGGGAGCCATAGTGCATCTCATCTATGGAAAATTGCGATCAGAATATGATGAATATACACGAAAAGAGAAGCAAATAAAAAATGAAAACAAAAAAAAGTAAGTACTATTTTTAAATATTTGTAAAGAATACATGATGGTAATGCTATATAATAACGCTCTTAAGAGACTCTTACTAAAAGCAAGTTAAAAAATAAATAAATAAATATGAAAAGTTCATTCATTACATATCATTATCTCTTTTATTTTAGGCTTCTCTGTCTGTTTTATTTAGATATTTCAATAGTTATAATAATCTTTGCTTAAAATACTTTTAAATGACTATGCATGGAAGCAATGGAGTGTTTCCAAATACTCATAGTTTGTAAGCTAAGCCATTATCCGAAAATGCATAATCTTTTTTATTTCCGCTCCGGAAAGAAGACAAGCGATGAGCAGTAAAGTGTTAAGAAAAAAACTTTATTGTACTCAGCGAGACAATAACAGAGAACCATTTTTTACTCATAATGACAGACATGCGACGAATTATATGATGATGAACAATTGAACAACCGTTAAACTGCATAATATACTTTCTAAAGTATTAGCAAGTGTAGAATTGAATTCATTTATTCCATTTTGAGTTCATCTTCTTCCACTGCCTTCTAAATATGTCCGTATTAAATCACAATCGAGTATAATCAAATTATCTTCTTTCTGGCTGCCTTGTTTTTCTGTTCTTATGATAACTACTTTAATTATGGATTGAAAATTAAATGATTTTTTATTTTTTCTCATCTCTCTTTCTTTTTTTTTATACTGTGTGCTTGCCTTCCGAAAAGCATTTTGCGTTTCGATCTTTATGCTCAGGTTCTTCAACACACTGTGTGTATAAGAAGAATATATATATATACTTAGAAGTATATGTATATATACATATATTTTACAACTCCTAACGTTGATCGTGGGAAAACAATTCACGTCCAATAGCTCTTTTTCGTTCATTCAATTCTGATTTTTTTTTTCTTATTTTACATTTCTTTCATCAGGTTCTTACTGGTGTTTGCTTCAAATAACGCACACACTCGGAGGTATTTAAAATATTATACTGTATTTTTATTGAATGTTCCTACAGGGTGTTTAGTTCACTTTTGCTCATACATTTTACCGTATAGCTATAGTGTGTTGCAAGAAATGAACCACTCTATTTTAAACCAGTTTCATTTCACATTATATCTTCAGCAAAATGTTGAAGAAAATGAAACTCTTTAAAAACACAAACACACATCAAGAGCCTTTTGAATTACTTCTTAGGTATTTTTTTTTCGTTCATACGTGGAATATGTTTGAAAAAAGAGACTCAAAAAACAACAATACAGTTTTTTTTATTATTTCAATAAAATGTTATATGTATTTTTTTTATTATTTTATTACATTATCAGTCAGCTACGTATTCGGAGTCCTCGTGCAGCTTCGAGATGATTCATAGGAAATTTGAATAATCGCTTATTAATGAGTTATTATTATGAATATAATAAAGTTATGAATGAATATTTTTGTTTGAGGTGCGAAACAGAGTAGAAGAAGTGGAGGAAGAAGATGAAAAGTGTCTCGTAATACTTTGGCATGCTCGCCTATGTTCTTATGCTTGGAGCATTTATTACAGCATCATTACCATATAAATCATTTGTAGCAGAAAATGGGCTTGTGATCATGACGAAAAGGTTTACATGTCTTCTTATATCTACTATTATAATGACTCATCATTTTGCATTTTACCGTCCTATTTTTTCACTAGATTATATTATTTCAAAATATCAACATATATTGCACGTGTACATCCAAAAAGTTACCAGTCAAAACAACGAAGAGTTTCAAAAATTTAATGCAAATATACTTAAATATTCGAATATTCTTTATAAAAAGTTACTAGAAATTTGCTGGAATGTATCATCGTATAGTTATTTCAAAACTTGTTTTATCTCTGTCATTCCTCTGTAGTTTAAAATATTTAGGTTTAAATTTTGGAAAAGATGGATATTCTTTAAGGATTAAGCCAAATTAAATAAGGCATTGAGCTCGTAAATGACGATAATCAGATCCCAAATCCGCATCTGCGAGATAACTCTTAACCAATTCATTTCTTCGACACGAATTTAAGTCTTTGTTTGAAGCATTTTTTCTTTCGTTTTTTTTTACCTCTCTCTTCTTTAAAGAAGAGCGATAATATCTTTAAAACATGTATCATGTCATCTAAATCTATTTAAAAGAACATTCTTTGGCTCTTTTAAAATTCTTGAATTTTTTTATTTTTCGAAATGTGTATGTGGTTCTTCTTACCTGTGAGAATGTCAAAAAAATGCAAATGAAAAAAGAAATCCAATTCATTTTCGATGAAAACAAGTCAATGCGAGTAAAGAGAAGTTGAAAAAAGGCACAAAGATCTCCTTAAAGATGCGAAGAAAGACTTGCTTGATCAACGATTGAATAATTTCATTAACACGAGCAAATGGTGTCTTCAGTAAATATAAAGCTGGTAGATAGATTGAATGTTGTATACTTTATGTGAAGAGAAATAAAGGCAAAAAGAAAGCTCACAGAACTGACAATAAAATGAAATGTATATTCTCCTGCCAATTTTCTCACTTTGCTGTTTTCAAAATGATAAAACAATTTTTCTTTTTCATTTATATCTATAATACTTTTTTCGGCTCATCATGTTCTTTAAAACTTTTAACTTGATATTAATTTTCATATTTTCTTTTATGCTATCTTATTTTTTTTTTCTCTCTTCATACAATATAAATAACACCGCCGATCTCGCGCATTTATAAATGTGAACGCACCGATCAATACTATGAAGCTATCAATTCTTTTTCACTTGATACATCAGATATTTTTTTATTGCTCCTTGTTATTTTTTTTTGCTTTTTTATTTTTTAACACTTTTTAAGGCTTTTCAACTTTTATTGCTCGAGTTTCTTTTATTCTTCGAGATGAATTATAAGAAGCAGTTGCTTTTTTTCACAAGCTCAAATCGAAGTTTTTTTTAATGTTTTTGAAATTTATTTTTCCGCCGTCACTTAGTAAATGTACGTATGAAAATTAATGTATTTATTCTCTTATTTTTAATTAATATAGGCTTGTAATTTATGCACAATTACCAATGAGATGAATTAACATATAAAACTCAACATTTTCAATATATTTTCTCTCTCTCTCTTTCTCTCATTTCGTTTTGTTCTGTTCTGCACACTAGGTATTATATTTTTTACACTAGGCAGATGTTTCCACTATACGGTTACTCACAACATTATTTCATGTTTCATGTGTAAATATAATGTTTAGTGATCTTCATAGACTTGTGTGTATGTTTTGTAAACTAGTTTCATATGTCTATGGCTTATATCTACAATTATTGGGAATTTTTCATATATTTATTAAAACGTATAATTGACGCATATTTATTTCAAATCCTATTTTTTTTTATCAGCAATCCATCATTGCGTTGGTATCTTTTTTTATTCCTTTTTTTTTTGTTTCACTTCCTTCAATTAATAATTTTTCATTGCGTTTTTATTATAAAATTTCAATTTTCCATCACTTTCTATTCGATCAGAAGATGATACCCATAAGCCGATGCTTTTTTTTGCAGATTGTATGAATTATTTTTTCTTATTTAAATTTATTTCTTTTTTAAAATGAAGTTTTTTTTAATCATAAAAATCACAATTTTTTTGGGATACAAAATCTTTAAAAAAAATTCTTTAATTAATCTTTAAACTATAACCGGAAGATATGCAAATGTTTTCCCGGATTTTTTAAAAACAGAGTTGAAACACGTTCATATAACTTGAATGTTAAAATGTGACTGACTGTGTATCTTGAAAATTTCTATGCTATGAGCAATGCGAGAGAGAAAAGAGAGAAAAAAATGCAGACGAGAGAAATAGTCGAAGAGGAGATCGGAAAGAACCCTTGTTATAAATTTTTCATTATTTTTTTCATCGCTTCTTAGAATTTATTGTCATAATTGATTATATTATTTTATCCCAATATTATATAGCAACCAAGTAAGACTTTCATAGTTGAATCCTTTTTCAGATACCATAAATCATTAACTGACGAAAGTTTTTAAATAATGTATGAAAACAATACAAAAGTCCTCGTGTGATTGATCGAGGAACTTCAGCGCATTTTTGATGCAGCGATCAGTATTTGATTAGTTTAGAAGATCATTCATTTTAGTGTAATAAACAAATAATTATAATGAATGCTTATGTAGAAAGGTTTTATTATTTAATGGTCAATAAATAATTTGAAATTTTCCCGCTTAAAGTTGCACTACAAAAACAATAATTATAGTGTAATTAATAATCTGTAGCAATGAATTCCATACAGCAAGGGTTTATCATTAAACGTTTTTTTTTGGAATTCAAATTTTACAACGACTAGAAAAAATTTGAAATTGTAGAGGTAATGTTGAATTTTTTAAATGTACTCACCACGTGGTTTTGTTTATGAAATAAAAAAATCATTAATTATAGTATAAATACACTGTTTCAAGACTTTTAACTTCGATCGGCCAATGAATCAATAGTAACAGAGCTAATAAAACAAACCTGAGCTCTCTACGATGTCTGGTTAAAAAGTTTTTCTTCGCCCGAACGAGCAGTCGAACAAACGAACAAACATTTTGCATTATTAAGCTCCTTTTTTGTATACAAGTATACAAAAATGCGTTAAAAAACAGTCTTTAATGAATCCTCAAAAATGCCACAGAATTTCTATGTCGCGTCTAGCTGCAAAATATATCTGTAAAAGTCTAGGTAGGTAGAAAGATGAAGAAATAAAACAAATGAATTTTTTTCCTCTCAAGCCTTTATTTTTGAGTCTGAGTATTAGGTTTTGAATATATCAATTATGTTTAGATAAATTCACCATGCTGATTTTAGAGTAAGGTGCAACATAAAAGAAAGTATTTCTTCTTCATTTTTTTTTTTAATTTTAACGATTTAATCGATTTAATAATGAAAATCATTTTTTATAAACTATTAAAATGCCCCAATTTTTTTCTCGATAGATCAACATCCTAGTTATCTCTTCACTTAGGAAATATCACAAATAAAAACGTATGTTTCCTTTTAATACGAAAACAAGTATGTTCATTGTCTCATAATTATTTCTTGTATAATGATACGAAAGAAATAAAATGATAATTTTTTCAGTTGTGATGTCATCATAAATATGCGAAAGCATGCATTGCATTGTTCCTGATAGTAGATATCAGTGACAAATTATTTAAAAAAGTCTTAAAAAACGAAACTAAATAAAAATTCAGTGTGTCCAACTGGAAAACAGTTTCGCTTAACTTTTTCCTGCGATGATGGTGAAAGATTAAAAATGAATGAAGGTATGTGAAGAAAAAGGTCTTATTCGGAATAGAAGAAATAAGTTGAGATGGACGATGTGCATCATTCTTATCAACAGCATGGTGACTCTTGTCAATGTATTTTAAATCATGAAAAAGTTGAGTGTTGCTGACGTTTGCAGCAATTTTACCGGTTTTAAGATTCTCTAGTTATTTTTTCTTTGCTGCCTTTTCTGCGGCTTTTGTTACTTTACCACCACTCGCTTCTTTAAAGTTAACCTAAAAATGGTGTGAAAAAAAGAAGATGAAGAAAACGAATGAAATTCAAAATATTTTTATAAGCTTACAGCTTTGATTACACCAACTGCAACTGTTTGTCTCATGTCACGAACAGCGAAACGACCCAATGGTGGAAATTCAGAGAATGATTCAACACACAATGGCTTTGATGGAACCAAATTGACGATGGCTGCATCACCAGATTTGATTGATTTTGGATTCTCTTCTGTGGTCTTACCAGTACGACGATCGCATTTTTCCTTGATTTCTGCAAACTTGCATGCAATGTGAGCAGTGTGACAATCCAAGACAGGTGTATATCCATTGGCGATTTGACCTGGATGGTTCAATACAATAACCTGAGCAGTAAAGTCAGCAGCACCACGTGGTGGACTTGCCTTACTGTCACCAGCGACATATCCACGACGCAATTCCTTGACTGAGACGTTTTTAACGTTGAAACCAACGTTGTCTCCGGGAACGGCTTCTTGAAGAGCTTCATGATGCATTTCAACTGACTTAACTTCAGTAGTCAAGTTAACTGGTGCGAAAACGACAACCATACCTGAATTTTGAGTAAAACAAAAAAAAACATTATTTGCAGTCATAGTTTATGCATGGTAATTTACCTGGTTTCAAAACTCCAGTTTCAACACGACCGACGGGTACTGTTCCAATACCACCAATTTTGTAGACGTCTTGGAGTGGTAAACGCAATGGTTTGTCAGTTGGACGACTTGGAGGTAAGATGGCATCAAGAGCCTCAATGAGACATTTTCCATCAGCTTTGCCTTCCTTGCGCTCAACAGCCCAGCCCTTGAACCATGGCATCTTGTCTGATGGTTCCAACATATTATCTCCATGCCATCCAGAAATTGGAACAAAAGCAACAGTAGCTGGATTGTAACCAATCTTCTTGATGTATGATGAAACTTCCTTCTTGATTTCCTCAAAACGAGTTTCAGAGTATGGTGGTTCTGTTGAGTCCATCTTATTGACACCAACAATCAATTGTTTGACTCCCAATGTGAAAGCCAACAAAGCATGTTCACGTGTTTGACCATTCTTTGAGATACCAGCTTCGAATTCTCCAGTACCTGCTGCGACAATCAAGACAGCGCAATCAGCTTGTGATGTACCAGTAATCATGTTCTTGATGAAATCACGATGTCCAGGAGCATCAATGATGGTAACATAGTATTTTGCTGTTTCGAATTTCCATAATGCAATATCAATTGTAATACCACGTTCACGTTCTGCCTTCAATTTATCCAAGACCCATGCATATTTGAATGAACCCTTGCCCATTTCTTGTGCTTCCTTTTCGAACTTCTCAATAGTTCTCTTATCAATACCACCGCATTTGTAAATCAAATGACCCGTTGTTGTTGATTTACCAGAGTCGACGTGTCCAATGACGACAATGTTAATATGAATCTTCTCCTTACCCATCTTTTGTATCCTGGTTTAACTTTTCTGAGTTAAAAAAATGCCTCACGATGCAACTTTTTTTTCGGAATGGATAAACTTTTTTGCAGTCTACTTCAAGATGTGTATTTTTGATTGACAGATTATTACAATTCTAGAAATGAGTTTATTTAAAATAAAAGTTAAATTTCAGCAAAAGAACCGTTTAAAGCGGAAGCAAAAAAAAGTTGTAAGTATGCAATTTGCTCAACAACAAAAAAATGTTAGACATAGAGGACTTTCAGACATGCGAAAATCAATTTTACAGCACCATTTTGCGTTTACCCCGACCTTGAATTTTCGCATACAGACATGATTTTCGGTTTTCACAACTAAGGTTAGTTATGAAAAAAAAAAAATCATTCTATTCATTTTCAAAAAAAAATTGATAAGATTTTAAAACTTATCATTGGATATGAAATAAATTTTCTTTTTAAATAACCTCTATGAAATTTTCTGTTAATGAAAACACATGGTAACATTTTTTAAAATGTGATGAAAATCTATTTTTAAATAATTCTTTCTTTCCCTTTTGCATTTCTTCCTTCACTATTAATTTCATTTACTAAGAAAAAATTATAAGCTGTAGTTTATGAAAATAGTTCAACATAGAAATTAAAATTTCCAAAAAAGTTTCTTATTTTGCCGTACATGAAGCTTTTCTTCTTTTTTCATTTTCATTTATGTCTGGAAAATGGCGATGTGACATAATATTTTTATGATTTAAATTCGCAAATGTTCTACATATTAACATTTTCAATGTAAATTAAAATCATTTTCAAAACATTGCTTGAACTAATAACAAGTATTGATTTGAATAAGTTTTTTTAAAAGAAAAATATGACCCGGCTTAAAAAATGAAAAATCAATTTTCCCGATTCCAGATTTTCAAAATCGATTAAATATGTTTGATATTACGTTTTTGATATTGATTTATTAAAAATTAGCATTAGATCAAATTCTGCTTAATAATAACTGAACCCGAAAATAAGGATATCGAGACAAGCACATTTTTCATCTATCCAGCACATTTTGTTTTTCAAAATTCACAGATATAAGAAAAATCACTTGAATTATTTAATTGTTATTATATGTAAGTTATATTCTATATTAAAACAAAAGCTTTGATTCTTAAAGCAATAACAATTAAAAAATTAACAATGAAAATTTCATGAAATTGGAAAATCTCTAGCCATATTTGATTTTTCATGAAAATTTTCACTGTGATATATAGAAACACGTCCACTTACGATAGAATCCACCGACAAAAAAGACCGAATAGAATATCTCACTTTCTGAAAAGGAAAGTTTTAGGACAGATTCGTTCGTTGCACATGCGCGATATCTTAATTTTTCTGTGTAGGAGACATATTTGCTTCTTTATTACACGCTTTTTATTGAGTTGCTCTGTTGGTTGGTTGGTTGGTTGGTCACGTTCAAATCTTGCAATCGATTTTTCGATTACTTCTACTGATCCAATCGAGCTCAAATTTTTTATACACACGTATTCCCGGTGACAATACAATATTTTAATACTTTGGAATCACAAAAATGCTTAATTATAGTACAATTTAAGCAAACAAATTTTATATGAAAAAAAAATCCAATGTCAATGATAGAAAATTTTGATTTGTTTAAAATATAATGCTTGAAATGGTCAAAAGTCATTAATATTGTTTATACAATTTATTATACTTTAATTAATATTACTAATTATTAATCATACTATTAATTTGAGCAGTTAAAGATATTCTGGTAGGACAAAAAAATTGACAAGTAATTTTTTCATGAATATTCGTAAGTGAAAATTTGAATATAAAAAAAACCGTTAAGCTCAAGTCAGTTACGAATTAATACAAAATAACTAGTAAAAGTCAAGGGTTTGGAACATTTGCCCACTGACTTTTGCCCACTCTACATATGCCCACTGACATTTTTTTCCATTGGTTCTTTTGCCCACTGAAACATTAGCCCACTGGTCCTTTTACCCATTGATATATTTGCCCACTGATACTTTAGCCCACTCGTATATTTGCCCACTGTAAAGTTGATAAAAGTATTTATGTTCAACTTGATTCGGTACATTTTTGCTCCTGACTTTCTGGCATAAACCTATGGCTATTCTCTACAAGATAAATTGCGAAAACAAATTATTTCAAATGAATTTTTGGTCGAAATTTTTCACTAAACTTAATAAGGGTTTCAGTACTCAATAAACGTTTGACCATTTCCAGATATCAGCAAATATAATAAAACACAGTTGCACTGTATTTGGATAAACCCTCGAAGAAATAAAAGGGAAAAACTAGTTTTTGTCTAAGCGCGCCCTTAGTCTACAATTGAAAATGTAACTATTCAGACACTACACATTATTTTCGACAGTCTTGCTTTTAGCAGCCTTTAAAGCTTATTAGGAAAATTAATTCTGCCTTTATATTCCAAAGTTCCTCTCTGTTGATGGTGTCATATGTTGCACGAAGATCAACGAAGAGATTTAGTGTTTCCACGTTCATATCATTTGATTTTTGTGACGATCGCCCTATTCCAAAAAATTTCATTCTGATTTCTCAAGCAAAAATGCATGCTTTTAAGCGGCCTCATAACTATTTATTGTTATCGTGTACATTTTACCTTCTTTTAAAATTGTAAATACCAAATAAATCAAATTAAACAGCAAGTAAAACCAAAAACAGAAATTAAATCAAATTTTAAGAGACAAAAGGCAAATTGAATGCCTGAAACCTTAAAAATTTAAATCTTAAACATGTACCGAATCAAATTCTAAAAATGCGTTAAATATTATTTTTTGAACATAAATACTTTTATCAACTATACAGTGGGCAGATATACGAATGGGCTAAAGTATCAGTGGGCAAATATATCAATGGGTAAAAGAACCAGTGGGCTTATGTTTCAGTGGGAAAAAGCCAGGGGTTGACACGATTTCATCTTGATGAAAAATTTATTAAATCTATTGTTAAGATGAAATTTTTGTATGAATTGATGAAAAATGATGAAGAAAGATGAAAAAAGATGAATTTTTTGGATGAAATTTTCGGGTGAGCTCGGTTGGTATGAAAAATACCTCGAAAAAGCAAATTTTTCTTATTTAAGGTGAAAAATCTTTCGGAAAAATAATTGTTTGCATTAATTTTTTTATTTAAAGTGAAAAACCCCAAAGAAAAGCATATTTTTCGTCTCGATTTCCTTAATTTGGATGAAATACCCCACGAAAAAGTCATTTTTCGACTAGATTTTCTTAGATGAGATGAAAAACCCCACGGAAAAGTCATTTTTCGACTAGATTTTCTTAGATGAGATGAAAAACCCCACGGAAAAGTCATTTTTGACTAGATTTTCTTAGATGAGATGAAAAACCCCACGGAAAAGTCATTTTTCGATGCCCGGTAATAACACCGACGCGGAATAACTTCTTTTGTAGAGAAAATCGTGAGTTCGGAATAATGTCAAAAATTTAAAATGTATAGAGCGGTAATAACTTCACCTATATAGCCTGAGTGAACTTATTCCGGCGTGGCACAGGAATAACTTCACCTAGAAAATGAAGGTGAAGGACGCTTGCACGCTGTAGGAATAACTTCACTTATATGTGCCAAGTGAAATTATTCGGATCGGTCAATTGGTAACATAAGAGCGCTTCCATACAAAATTAAAATTCAAAAAGTTGCACAATTAGCTAATTTTACCTTGTTTAATTAAACTAGAAGCAAGTGAAATGATAAAATATACATTTTTTCAATCCATTAGAAGGATAGCTTGCAACAAAAGAAGTAAAATCTAGTGTTCGAAATCTTACCAAAAAACTCGTGAGAAAAATTTTCTCAGAGAAAACTTGATTTGAAATCTCGCGAGTTTTCAAATCTCGTGAAATTTTTTTCTCACGTCTTAATCTCAATTGAGATTTTTAATCTCAATTTGGGACGTCACAAGGGAAATTTTTCAAAAAATTTGAATGAAATTTTTGAACACAAAGGTTAATGGAAGTTTTTCTGATATTGACTGTGTTCCTGTTTTTGAATGTACATCAGTTTACAGCTTCAATGCCTCTGGATGCTTTTTTGATCTCTTTAAGCATTTCTGAGTGTGAGAACTAGCCGTTGAGACCCTTTTCGTTTAAATTTTAATACAAATGCTATGCCATCGTAAAGGTTGGTTAAAAATGAACTTTATTTATCCAGTCATCCAAAAATTTCCAAAGTGTTCAAAAATTTCATTCAAATTTTTTGAAAAATTTCCCTTGTGACGTCACAAATTGAGATTAAAAATCTCAATTGAGATTAAGACGTGAGAAAAAAATTTCACGAGATTTGAAAACTCGCGAAAGCAAATTAGAATAAAATCCGCAACAAACTTCAAAACATATTACTGAAGAACTTTATTAATTAAATATCATAAAAAACCCTTAAAAAATAACATAAAAGTAATTACACAAAACAGGAATAACTTCACATAGAAATTATAAGTGAAGTTATTCCTGCATCATGACGGAATAATGTCGATGAACAAAAATTTGTGAAATTATTACGACGTGGCGCAGGAATAATTTCACTTGGCACATATAAGTGAAGTTATTCCTACAGCGTGCAAGAATAACTTCACCTTCATTTTCTAGGTGAAGTTATTCCTGTGCCACGCCGGAATAAGTTCACTCAGGCTATATAGGTGAAGTTATTACCGCTCTATGCATTTTAAATTTTCGACATTATTCCGGAGCTGCGTTGTGAAGTTATTCCGCGTCGGTGTTATTACCGGGCATCCATTTTTCGACTAGATTTTCTTAGATGAGATGAAAAACCCCACGGAAAAGTCATTTTTCGACTAGATTTTCTTAGATGAGATGAAAAACCCCACGGAAAAGTCATTTTTGACTAGATTTTCTTAGATGAGATGAAAAACCCCACGGAAAAGTCATTTTTCGACTAGATTTTCTTAGATGAGATGAAAAAACCTACGGAAAAGACATTTTATATTTACACCGTTTGCACGTGTGAATCTATTGGTTTTGTTCAGATTGAAAAATCAGTTTTTAGAATTTTGTGAGGATATGGAGCAAGAAAGCTTAAAATGTTCAGAGATGAAAAGTTTGTGCCTTGAATTTCACATCTTTTGCAAAAAACAGATTTCAAATTGGTTGCGGCATTGCTGAGAAAATCGCAAAATACGCTTTCTGTAAGCAAACAAGCAAGCAAGCAAGTTAATCAGCAAGAAATCTCAATAACGAGACATCGTAGAGACTTCTAGTTTTTTACATTTGATCCGTGCTGCTCTATAGAAGAGCTGTATTGTTTTTGGGCAAGGTAGGAACAGCCGTTGCTTCAGAAAAAGCAAAAAACTTTCCTTTCTTACGAATTTTTCAAATTAAAAGTTCACTGTGATTTTTTTTTAAATTAAACTTTGGATGGAAAAATTTTTTTGAGCAAAGAACCAAGAAGGAAATACATTTTCAATTTTGGACTAGGGGCTAGGGTTTGTGGAAAACAGCTGTTTTTGAAAAACAGTCTGTTTTCGGTTTTTGATTTTTAAAAACAGCTGTTTTCCTGTTTTTCTAGAATTCAAAATAAACTGAGTTATCCTAAGTGTTTCTCTAAGATAATGAAACTTTTTGGTGCTTATAAGCAGTTAAGCATACTTTTTAGAGCTAAGCATTATTATTTCTTATTTTTTATGTTAATTAACTCTAAAAAATATAATGAAATATAAAAATGCAAAAAAAAAAATCCAAAAAAATTTATACCTTTAAGTAACATTGCATTGTTGCATTGTAAAAGTTCGATAAGCTCTAATATTTTATTTGAAATATTCAAAAAATCTTTCTGAATAAAAAAATATCTTGTAAAATTGTTGATTTTATTTTAACACTTTAGCAAATGCTACAAAAGGTTCAACAAATTTAAAATTTCGATTGCAAAATTAACAATGATTAACCATAAATATGATAATGATTTCAAACCTATTAAACATCCAAAAAATATTAAAATAGTAAATACATTTCAATTTGAAATGCTAGAAAAATATATTAAGTTCTTCAAAAAAATTAAGAAACTTTTTTTTCTGAAAATTTCATGCAAAAATAAAAAAAAAACAGAAAATAGATCTGTTTTTGAGACCTGTTGTCTGTTAACAGATTTTTGTCGAAAAACAGCTGTTTTTCTGTTTTCTGTTAACAGATCCCTACACTATGGGGCAAAATTGAAAAAAGAGGGACTTTCACATTGATTTTGGGACTTTTTCGAATTACATTCTCAAGTGAATTTTTTCTTGTAGAGGACATAAAAC